TCAATTTCGCCAATTCAAGCCTAAATCTCCTCTACAACTCCAAAACCCATTCTGATCGCGCTCTGAAGTCACAAATCACCTCCCGAAGCTAACCGAACCATCATAACTCACATCCGAGCCCTCTAACTCATAAGTCAACATCCGGTTGACTATTTCAACTTAAGCCTTCTTAAAAGAGACTAATAGCCTGTTTGGCCAAGCTTCTCAACACAAAAAAGTGCTTTTTTCCCAAAAGCACTTTTTTTTCCTAATTTGAGGTGTTTGGCCAAGCTTATTTGGGGAAAAAAAGTGCTTTTGGGAAGAAGCAGAAGCAGTTTCAGAGAAGCAGAAAAAAGTAGCTTCTTTCCAAAAGCAGAAGCAGAAGCAGTTTTGGCTTTTCTTCTTACCTAAAATACCCTTAACAAAATATAGTATATACCAAAATAACCCTTAAACCTAATACTTAGGATATTAATTTATAAATATTTCTTCTTATTTTTAGGAAACTTTCTAATATATAGTGTCTTTAGGGGTGAATGCTTTTATATTTGTTGAAGGAATTTTAATATATTTAACTTATATTAAAAGAATTAAGTACTTTTTAATTTTATTTTCATATTTTACTTAAATAAAATGATTTTTTTTTTTATTATTGCATGTAATAAAAAAAATTTGATATTATTTATTTACTTATAATATTAATTATTAAGTAAATCTATTCATGTCCTTTTTCGTAATTTGACACTTAAAAGCACTTTCTAAAAATCTTGGCCAAACACAAATTATTTCTCAAAAGTGCTTTTCAGACTGATTAGCCAAACACAAACTGATTCTCTCCAAAAGTACTTTTTTCAAAAGCACTTCTCAAAATAAGCTGATTTCTCCAGCTTGGCCAAACAGGCTATAAGTGTCTCATTTCTTACCAAAACCACATCAAACACAAACCAATCAACTCGAACACATAAAACACGGATAACGAAGCATAAAGAAGCAGAAATGAGGAAAACGGAGCTGGGGTATTGGTTAGCCCGAAAGANTTATTAGTCTATTCCAAAAGAATGACACATTTAACTTTAAATTTTTCATTTTACTCATTTTACCTGTAATGAGAAGCTCTTACACTCATACAACTATCACGACCCCACAAAGCTTCTAGGACCACAAGTTTCAAAAGTTTTCTTTTCGTTTTTAAACTTTGTGCCAAGTCAAACAACAACAACAACCCAATGAGATCCCACAAGTGGGGTATATGGAGGGCAGTGTGTATGGAGATCTGAGGCTATTTCCGATAGACCCTCGGCACAAGAAGAAGGAAAGAGACAGTGTATCAGTAACAGCTAAATTCAAACTATCTCATCAAAATTGAAACTGAATGAAATAATACTAAATAGAGTAATAACTAATAAAAATACATTTAGTAATATCTTAATTTATATTATAAAAATACATTATATTATTATCTCAAAATAATAATTTCTCACATCAACATCAACTTCTACCAACCTAAAATATCACAATAATAAATTAATATATACACACATGATGATTTATTGACAACCAATATATTCTAACTTTTGGGAGTTACCAACATATAAAACAGTCGGATCGTAATTTGCTCAACAATTTTAATGTCACCTCAATTTTAACCACACAATTAAAGTCACTTTTTTTTAACAATTTAAATGATACTTTTGGGATATAGTTAACATTAGTATATTATAATTAAATAAATGTTAAACTACTTTAAATATATTGTACTTCTTAAAATGAATTGTACCTTATGATTTTTGTAATTCACTTTATTTTGTGTAAATAGTAATCCCAAATAGTGCAATTATATTTCTGTATATGTTTACCCTATCTAAATCTATTTTATTCTAATTGACACATATATACCGATCCCATCAGTTGCTCAATCAATTGGCTCATACACTTTGAGAGACATAAATATCAACATCGGACTAAAAAGTCATAGTCCATACCTAAACTACTGGAAAATAGGCCTACAAGAACAACTGTTTTGGCAACGGTTATTAAACCGTTGCAATAGATTAGGTACGGTAATGGTTACAACCGTTACAATAGAGTTTGGATGAAACCAGCACACTTTAGATACTAAACCGTTCCCGTTAACAGTTCACCGTTACCATAGGTTTTCTTTATAGGATCCGTGTTCTCAACCGTCCCAATAGGACTATTTGTAGTAACGGTTATAGAAATTTTGTAATATAGGAACGGGTATTTTGTTCCCTCCTTATTTTCCCCCCTGAATTTTGCTAAACCCGCCAATACAACCCCTTTTTCCTTTTATTTCTTATTTATTTTATTTTGGTAAATATAATAACTAAATTAAAATTTATTCGACACTTCCAATGCTCTCGTCTTCCTCATCAAGCTCGTATTCTTGGCAGCAAACGTTCCAAACCTAAATTCTAACCTTCCTCAAATCACCAGCACAAATCCCTCATTTGCAAATCACCATCCTAAATCCCCAGCGTTTGGTTTATTCGCAAATCACCAGAAAACTTTCTCAAATCTCATTGTTGGTGATTTACTTTCATCTCCTCTGCATTTGGTCCAAAATTTTCAAATCCTCAAATTTATTTGTTAATTAAAAATCCCCAAATCTCGATTGCTAACCCAAAACTCCCAAACCCCCAAAGTCCCAAACTCCATTTGTTTCACTCGAAGGATCTGAAGAACAGAGGAATAATTTAAAGTCAGCGACTACGGGGTGTAGAAAATATTTTAAATCACGAGAAAGTTTCGACCCAAAAGGCAATCAGTGAGAAATCAACTTCAGGTAATTTTTCCTTTGTAATTTGGGCATTATATTCTATAATCGTTCTTTTTTCCTTTAAGCTTTATGGTGTGAACAATGTATATGATTTCACTTCAGTGTATATTCTAGCCTAGTTTCTCGAATTAATTTTTTAACTTAGTTAAGGCACACAAAATACTAAAGCATTTTGGGAGATGACCGCAGCAGCTTTGGAGATTTTGTATAAGTCGGGTCTAGCAGTCAGTTTTCAGCAAGTATTCAAATCTCTGTGTTTATATCCCACCAAAACCATGTTCTTCAGAATAAACAATTATTCTTACTGCAACAGAATAAACCATGTTCTCTGTGCTAGTTTGTTTAAATGTTTATGCGAAATCCTGCAGTACGAAGTCCCCCAACATATGTCAAACTAGGGACGCCGATGATTTTTGGTGAGTTAATACAGCTCCACCTGTTTACATAATACTTATTACTTCTAGCTTAGAAAGCTCTTACATGTGAAAGTCCAAGATTGTTGCTTTATTAAAGAAAGGTTCCAGATTATTGCTTTAACAAGGCCAAACTCCTATTATCCCTCTCTTTTTCATTGTATACTTTGCTCTAAACTGGATATCTACTATATATTCCTGCTTGTTAGGTTCTATGAACTCTCATTTTCAAATAATATTGTGAATTGAAGCATGGTTTCATGAATCAACGCATGCATCTAAGCTTAAGACAATAAAGAGAAAATAGTTATTCCATGCCCATTTTCTTACCTTATCAATTATGTAAGTATATGTTTTAAAAGCCATTATGGTATATGTTTCTTGGCGAGCTACATGCAAGTAGCCTGTTGGTAAGCAACTAACTGACGAAAAATTTCACGCCCGTGCAAAAGGTCATAAAATTTTATATATGAGTGCTTTATATTACATCTTATATGAAGCTTGAATCAAGCACGTGATTTATCTATCATAACTGCACTAATATATGGTGGTGAAATTTCTCTCTTAACTGCTTTAATTGCCCATACCCCAGAAAAACTCTAATAGAGGAAAATCTTTAACATGTTTGAAGTTTATCTGGTCTTAAATCTAAAATTCTTTTATTCTCTTTAGCCCTTTAATATAAGTATGGAAAAGGTAAATAATATCCTAGAATAGTTGTCCATGAAACAAAATGTCATGGTTAACAACATTGCAAGAGCTATTGCAGTAAGTTGTGATGAACCAATATAGCTTTTACACATATAAAGTTCTTCAGAATTGCCAAAATTCAAGGGTTTGAATCTTAGAGAATACTTGTTACTCGTGATTTTAGCAGAACTTATGCTAAGAATCTGAACTTTGGTGACATATTCTTTTTTTTTAGTAAATTATTATTCTCCTACCGTATATATTAAACTGTTCTGATGGGTTGTGATGAGACTATGTTGTCTTTTGCTTGACTTGGTCTTTCGTTGGATTTATGCTTCTATTAATACAAAAGTGCAACAATTTCACGGGCATAGGTGCTCAACTCTTTGGAAATGGAAAGCATGAATGCAATTATGTAGTCATGTCCTTAGTTCCATCAAACATTAACACTTTATTGTCTTCAGATGCTCACGTGCTTGTTATAGTGTAGTGGGTCTTGCCTTAAAAGCAGTGGTCAATGTCAAATTAGTATGCTTTTGGTTTATTTGATTAGTTTTGTTGATTTACTTTTATCGTATAGGATATCTATGGATAATGGTGATAAAAGTTGGATAAATCTCCTGAGATGGACGGATGAGTATATCCCTGGAGTGAATGATTTTCTTGATAAGGGATTTGAACGAGCTGCCCAAGGAAATGAAATATTATGCCCTTGCAAAAAGTGCAGGAATCGCTATTGGTATTATAGAAATGTGGTGGAGGATCATTTGGTTGTTCATGGGTTTGTTGATGGTTATACCAAATGGGTTTTCCATGGGGAAGGATTTTCCTCGAGAAATACACCTTATCCAGGCAATGATGATGAAGGTTCTACCATGCGTGACGATATTGATGGACTACTTCATGATACATTTAAAAACATAGAGGGTCAGGCAGGGATGAAGAAGAAGCTGGGGAAAGACTATTTGAAGATGCAAAGAAGTTTTTCAAATTGCTGGAGGAAGGAAAACAAGAATTATATCCGGGGTGTGAAAATTTTAGTAAACTGAGTTTCACTATTCGATTGTACTTGCTTAAATCATTGCATGGGTTGAGTAATGTGGCTTTCTCTGATTTGTTAGAGTTGATAAAGGAGGCATTTCCATTTGCTCAAGTACCGGAATCTTTCAACAAGGCTAGAAACATGATAAAAGATTTGGGTTTTCATTATGAAAAAATACATGCATGCCCTAATGATTACATGTTATTTTGGAAAGAAAATGCGAATATGGGTAATTACTCTATTTGTGGGTCTTCAAGATGGAAGAGTGTCGGTCCTTTGACTAAAGCAAGCTCTAAAATCCCTACAAAGGTTTTAAGGTACTTTCCTTTAAAGCCTAGGCTTCAGAGGATATTCATGTGTCCTGAAACGGCTGCTGCAATGAGATGACATGATAATGAGCGTCCCAATGATGGGAGTATAAGACATCCTGCTGATGGGGAAGCTTGGAAGGCTTTTAATTCTTTGCATCCAGACTTATCTAGAGATCCTCGGAATGTTAGATAGGGTCTCTCAAGTAATGGTATCAACCCGTTTCGGACCATGAGCATTTCTCATAGCACGTGGCTTGGTCCATCATCTCCAGGAAATGATATAGATGTGTACCTACTTCCATTAATTGAAGAATTGAATGAGCTATGGGAAACTGGGATAGACACATTTGATGCTGAAACCAACCAATCTTTCCGAATGCGTGCTGCCTTATTGTGGACAGTTAGTGACTTTTCAGCATTAGCAATACTTTCAAGGTGGAGCACTAAGGGGAGATTAGCATTCCCCACTTGCAATTATGACACATGTTCTCAATATCTCAAACATAGTCACAAGATGTGTTACTTGGGCCACCGAAGATTTTTGCCTCGTGATCATCCATTCCGAAGAGATAAGAAGTCTTTTGATGGTAAGGAGGAACATAGACCTGCACCTGCTCCCTTGTCGGGTGAAGAAGTCTTTGAAGAGCTGCTTGAATTCAACAATATCTTTGGAAAGAGCACTAAAAAAAGGCCTCAGAGTGATAAGGGTCCGTGGAAAAAGAGATCCATTTTTTTGAATTGCCATATTGGGTGCATAATAAATTGAGGCACAATCTTGATGTGATGCACATCGAGAAAAACATATGTGATAGTTTGCTTGGGACTTTATTAGAAATAGATGAAAATCAAAGGATCATGAAAAATCTCGCTATGACTTACAAGAAATGGAGATATGAAAGGAGCTACAACCAAGAATAAATAGTGATGGAACTATAAGTGTAGCTAAAGCTTGTTTCTACATGGAACCAAAACAGAAAAGTTTATTTTGTACTGTCATAAAAAATGCTAAATTACCAAAGGGTGTGCTTCCAATATTTCAGAACGCGTGCAAGTGAAGGAGATGAAAATATCAGGGTACAAGAGTCATGCCGCTCATTTTATAATACATTACTTGCTCCAGGTTGCTATTAGAAAAGTGTTGCCCAAACATGTTTCATTGGCCTTGATTAGGTTGAGAATTTTTTTTATAGCTATATGTAGTAAGGTCATAAGGCGAAGAGATCTTGAAACAATGCAGTCGGAAATTGTTGAAATAACATGCGAGCTTGAAAAGATTTTCCATCCAACATTTTTTGACATAATGCCATATTTGCCTATTCATTTGGTGAATGAAATTAAGCTTGGGGGTCCGGCTCATCTCCGTTGGATGTATCCCATTGAGAGGAACCTATGTAAGTACAAGTAATTTGTACGTAATCGATCTTGTCCAGAAGCGTCAATAGCAGAGGGGTTTGTGGCCGATGAGTGCTTGACTTTTTGTTCGAGATATCTACATGATGGCATTAGGACAAAATTTAGTAGGTACCAAACTGTGGATGATGAGTGCTCTCAAAATTTGTCACCTATATTCCCTAATATAGGCCGTCCAATTGGAAGTAAGAAAAAAATACTTTTCTCATGGATTCGCAGTTATGATTTGAAATACATCGATATGCTCTGTTCAATACTGGAGATGAATAAATGGAAAAGTTTACCGAGTAAGATAAATTATATAAACATTTATCTATATTTATATAATTTTTTTACTATATGATTAAAATTGAAATGTTCTTGATTGCAGGGAACATAAGAATTTAATTGTTATTCATAGTAGATCAAATGCATGGGTAAGAGCGAGAGATCACAGTCGAGAATTCAGCAATTGGTTTAAAGAGAAAGTTAAAAATATTGTTGTGCCAGATTATTTAAGATGGCTATCCAAAGGACCTAATATGGTAGCCAAAAGATATACGACATATTTTATTAATGGATACCGATTTCATACCAAAGAACAGGATTTCCAATGCAAGACTCAAAATAGTGGAGTGACTTTATCGGCAACAACAGATAGTTTTGCTAGTTCTAGGGACCAAAATCCCATCTATGCTGAGGTTATCTATTATGGAGCGATTCAGGATATCATTGAGATTGATTATTGGGGTTATTTTAGTGTTGTACTGTTTAGATGTGATTGGTTTCGTAATGAAATAGATGATTATGGGTTAACTCGGGTGTACTTCAATAGATTATGCAGTAGAGATGACCCTTTTGTGTTGGCATCACAAGTTTATCAAGTTTTTTATGTGGAGGATCCAACTGATAAAGATGTTTATTATGCGAGGAGAAAAGTACCTGTTGATTTGTATGATCTAGAGTAAGAGAATTGTCCTAATATTGGAGACACATTTTGGAGGGAACCTAATAATGACATTAGTTCCTCATCTAGATTACATGATGTTGACATTAGATGGTCAAGAGAAGACGTACCCCTTGATATCATTGATACTCTATCTAATGCACAAAATTCACATGATACAATCGTGGAAACATCGGAAGAGGAGGATGGGTTTGATGATACTGATTGGGACTGGATGGAAGCAGATGATTAAATAAGAAAATTCTGAAATCTTTTAAGTATATTCTTTTTTTAGTGAGTGATAATGCCTTTTTAAATAAATATTTTATGATTATTTTTGTTTATATCCTTTATAAAATTATTCTTCCATGCTTTAATTTTTGCAGGATTTGAGATCTGGTAACATTATTGTCGATATTGAATTAATTGAGAGAGATTTCAGATATTTTTGTTCGGTTGTTGAGGCCCGTCCCTTCTCCCACGCCCTCTTTTGGTTCTGCTGTCCAAGTCTTCAAGTGTGAAGCATAGTTGGTAATTTCTATCCTCTATGAAATTATAGCAACTCTATGGTCCTTAAAGAATATATTTTACATGGTGCATTTTGCATCCTATTCCTTGTCACACGCCATCCTTACTTACATGTTGCTGATCGCTATTGGTGATTATTTAAAGGAGAAAAGAATTTTAAGTAGTTAGTATTGGTCCATGGCAAGAGTACAAGGATATTGGAAAGAATCTAAAAAGATGATCCATTTTTCAAATCCAAGAATAGATATAAATGGGCATGACTTTGGACAATCTAACAAGCTTCCTTTTTTCTTGGCTTTATAGACTTTTTTTTGTAAATGTTTCACTTTTCTCTGAGTTAAATTTTACTCTTTTTGAGTTATCTCCTCTTTCTGATTGATGGGGTTTGTTGGATTCCTTTGGTGTTAGCTAGGAGCTGGAGCTAGTGCTGAAATGAGTGATATTTTGCTGGTTGTATTTCGAGCGGAGCATTTTAAAAGACTTGGTCTTAGGTAATTTCTTGAAATTCTGTTCATTGTCTTATTTTTTGATGATAATCTTAGTGATATTTTGCACCAGATGCGTGCATGTTTGGCCATGTTTGCACTAGATGCGCACATCATTGAAGCAATCAGTTTTGCTGTTGATTGTGGGTGCGATACAGTGGTAACATATGCCTATCATGATGTGCCTCTCTTCATGTGATATTGAAATGTTGATCTACACTTTGATATCACCTCTAAGCACCTCAACTCCTTCTGTATGTACTTGTCAATAAAATCTGCATTAAGTATATGGCAGCAGAGTATTCTTCCAAAATTCTATGCTTTTGCCTACCATTAACTTCCTCCCAGTGGAATGAGTGCATTGCATTAATACCACCAATTGAGATTCCATCAAATAGTAGGGCATAGAGACAGTAACTTTTGCCTTCCCTCAGAATATGTGAATTTCGAATATTGCATTCCCCCATCAACATTTTAATTGAAAACTTTGTGTGTGTGTATTGTGTGTGTGTGTGTTTGAATTGCACTTAAGGTAGTTTGGCAGAGAAGAGACTTATATAACAGCTATAGAACTTGAAAACTTTCAGGTGAAGCTTTTTGAAGATTAGGTTCAGAGGCAAATGACTCTTTGTTGTATGTTGGTCAATCAGTTCTCTTCCTTTGCTAACATATATTGTGTTTGCTTTTCAGAATCTGAAAAATATTTGAATAGTCATGAATCAAGAAGGGTGCTCAAGCAAAAATAAGAAAATATCCAACCGCATTCCAGTTGGATCACTTGCATCTTTACGGAATCAAAGGGTTTCGTCGTTGACAACAAAAAGAACCTTCCAAGCTACACGGTCTAATACAAATGAAGAACGACAATCAGAAGGTGGATTACCTTCATCTTTGCGAAACCAAAAGGTTTCGTCATTGACAACAAAAACATTCTTGAAATCTATAAGGTCAAATGCAAATGAAGAATGCCAATCCGAAGGTGGATCTCAATTGCAAGAACAAGTGCAGCAAGTGCCACAGAATTGCACCTTTTCAGCAACACAAGGAGTACATGAACAAGTGCAACAAGCGAATATGGATTGCATCACTCTTGCATCACAGGGAGTACATGAACGATCTGATGATTCTACCAATCATGAAGCAATTGAACAATTTGAGGAACAAGACAAATATATATAAATTTTAATCATAAAATTAACTAAAAAAGTGATTTATGACTATCTTTGCTTTGTACTATTGTAGGCCCCTCCTCGCCAAAAAGAAAAAGAGATCGTACTCAAATGCCAAGTGTTCATGGTAGAAATGAGCATAAAATAATTATTCTAAATGAGTATAATCAACCAGTTGGTCCTACTAAAGAAGTTGTAAAAGAGTTGGGTAGTTTCCTCGGCACATTGGCAAGGAGTGAGATTTTTTGTCCTCTTAATGTATTTAATTGGAGGAAACTAGACACAAAAAAATGATATGTGAAAATATATCAAGGTATGAAGTTCCCAATGTCCAATAAACATGGATGATATTTATTATTTCTTACACTAACCCAATTGCATTAAATATGTAAGAAAAATATGACATTCTTGACGAGGCAAAATAATGGGTTTTTGAATCAGTTTGTATTGCTTGGAGAAAGTATAAGAATCAATTGAAGATAAACAACTTTAAAGCCTATGAGAATGATGAGCTTTGAATGGAGAATAGGCCAGTAGATGTTCCGGAATCTCACTTTAATGATCTTAAATATTGGAACTCCGCTCCTCACAAGGTAATTACATCCAATCTTTTTATGACCTATTCTCTATTTGTTTCTTGTTTTACTTTATGTGAAGGAATGTAGGCTGGCACCCAACTTCTCCCTTAGCTAGGCAGTCTCTGTATCAATGTAGAAGATCACTATATGAAGTTTACTCCATCTATAAGTAGCCCTTGCTTTCTCTGTGGCATTAAATTTATAAGTTGACTATTTGCAGAAAATGTCCGAAACCAATACAAAGAATCTGTCACGAACCAAAATCCATAAAGGTCGTGATGGCGCCGGACACCACTGTCAGGCAAGCCAACAATAAATACTAAATTGGGTTCTCATTTTGTTGCTTTTGAAATCATATTTTCCTTCAATTTAAATCGTAAAAGATGAAGTTTACCAAATAAATAATAATATATTTAAAAATTCTAATACAACACAACCCATAATCATCCCAAAATTTGGTGTCACAAGTGCATGAGCATTAACTGGGAATATAAAATAAAATACAACAGCTGTCCGGAATACAAATTGGATAGGAAAAATGTAAGTACTCTGAAGGAGACTATGTTGGTTGCGGATCGTCGTATAGAATGCAGCTCACCTAAGTCCCCGC